CACATGGCATGTCCCTGTCCTTCGATCTGCCCAAATGTCCTCAAGAGGCCACCCTACTGAAGTAGCACCTGCCCCCACTCCAACTTGATCACTCTATATCTCCTTAATATGCTTTTTTTCACAGCATTTATTACTATGTGATGTTATAGATCTGTCTGATTGTTATTGTCTGTTTTCCCTACTAGAGTATGAGAATGATTAAAAGAGGGATTTTGTCTATTCTATTCACTAGTACATCTCTAGAATAATGACATCTAGAACAGGTGTTCAATAAATATTTATCGGATGAACACTGATGTTTCACTTTTAGAAACTTCAAATTATAGATTTTGAAAAGAGTAGTTATTCCTGGAGCAACTAATGTGATTGGTTTTAATTAAGCAGTTTTTTAAATTGTTTGGCAATGTATCCATTCTATGACACAATGCCTATATCAGTAGATTAAGTGAAAATATACTTGGGAGTATTTCTGCCAGGCTCTATTAAACCACAGGTACCATTCGAAACAAAAACACTCCATTTGTATTACCCTACAGCATTCCCGAAGGTCTTCACAGATGCCCTATAGGCTCCTAGCTGTATGCTGAATTGAATTTTTCTATAGAATCCATACTTCCTGACAGTCTCACAGCTCCCACTATCGTGTGGAACTTTCGCTACGATTGTCTACCTGACAAAAATATTTGCTTTGACTACAGTATTTATGGAAACTTTTACATGACAGTTTATGTACTTTTTTCTTATTACTATCAAAAGGTATGGCAAAATTGTTTGTATCACAGAGATAAGGGAGCACTGAATTGGGCATTCCAAACTTTATATGGAATTTCTGTTTTCTGATGAGGAACCATCACTTTCATTACCAGCACTAGTAATTTTCCTTTAAGATAGTTTTCACAAAAAAAGGAAAAATTTTCTCATATCTCAAAATATACTATGCACACAACATTGACAAGAAAACAAAGTTACAAAGGTATGAGTGAGTGATCAGCCAGGCTCCTTGCTGAATGACTCAAAACCACACACCAAACTTGTATTGACTAGGGCTTTATCTCATGCTTCAATAAAGTTACAACTTAGTAATCCTGTGCACCATCAGAGTTGTTATAAATCAAAACAGAACATGTTGCCACCAGACAAATCTGGGCCAATTTAAACACCAAAATAATTTAGTAATGAATTACAAAATTTGAAAAACTGGAATTCATGAATCCGTACTGATAAACAGGAGAAAAGAGAAAAGTTTATAATAGAATGCCAAAGGCTGGTTGGTAAATATGGAGTAAACGGAGTTAGAAAATCATTATTTTGCAACCATCATGATAAAGATGGGATCAGGCAAAAATTATCAATAGATGTTAAGTGTATGGGGAAATTTGGACAAGGAACAGGATGTCTACATTATCTTAAAAGTGTCTCCCCACTGCTTCTTAGCAGCACGGGGGAATAAAACAGTAATTACTGAACGACACCCTGACAGGATGAAGAGTTAACATCACCTATGTGGGACCAGATGTCACTCCCCAAGGACACAACAGCACCTATACAATATTCCAGCCAAGAATATATAACTTCAATCTAATCATGATGAAACATCAAATACAAAATGAGGAATATTCTATTTTAAAAAGAGAGAAGAGGAAACGATCCTCTTCAAAAAATATCACTGTCACAAAAGACAAAGAAATATTGTGGCAATGTTCCAGATTAAAGGAGGTCAGCAGACATAACACAGGGGGTCCCTGGTGATGGTGTGAATAACTTTCTTTCAACTGTTTCTCATTTACTACCTGAGGGATTAAGATACTAAAAGTACTAGAAATAGTAACAAAAATTAAATGCTTTGTTCATGTATATTCTCAATTGCTGACTAACACAATGGAACACAAAAAGCATACCTGCAACTGTGGACACTGGGGAATTTTCCTTCGAGGTGGAGTCGGGACAAATGACGTCAGCTTCCTGGCTGATTCTAATCGTTTCTGCAGAGGAGTGGCACCTATGAAATAATCTTTAAGCCTCGAGGGTGCACCCTGTCTAGGAGTTGATTCTGGTGCATCATGAGAATCCATGATCTACATAAAAAGAAATAAAACCACAATTCTAAACACTAGGAATTCTTTCTCTCCCTCCCCATCTCTGCCCCAGTTTCGACTTCAACCACGTCTAGTATTTCTCGCTGGCTACGGGCCATTTTTATGAATATCTTACAGATAACACAAGCACAACAGGCTCAAAACTAAATTCGACTCCTTCCCATCCTCCTTTCAAAAGCTAGCTGGTCCGTTTTCAAATTCCTGTCAATTTTTCAAGTTAATTTAAATCCATTTAATAGTTTCCCACTTTCGTTCTTTAACGGGTAGTCGCTAAACACATTCTTTCGAGTGTTTCCTTCAGAGGTCTCTGCCATCCATTCCCAAAGCTACTTCCTTAGCCAGGTGCTCACCACCTACCGCAGCTCTGCGTTTTCCACATCCAAGCGTAATCACTCTTCAGAAATGGCACTTTATTATCAGACACCTTTGCAAAAACCTTTACGGCAATAAAGTAAATTCTATTCTTCTGCTCTGAATTTAAGATCTTTCTTAATTCAGCTTGTCCTTATCCTCCTACTTCTCCTAGACATATTCTTGCCTTCGTGTGTTTGCCCGTTGACTACATTCCGCATCTGAAGTTTCCTTTTGCCATTCTACCTCCTTTAAGACTGTGCTTGATCTGACTCGATTTCTAGTAGGGAAAAAAAAAACCCTGCACTGTCGGTGGAACTGTAAATTGGTGAAGCCCCGATAAAAAACCGTATGGAGAGTCTTCCAAAAACCAAAACTAGACCATATGACCAGCAATTCCACTTCTCAGTATTTATACAAAGAATACAAAAACACTAACTCGAAAAGATATCTGCACCCTTATGTTTACTGCAGCACTGTTTCCAATAGCCGAGATATGGAAGCAAACTAGGTGTCTGTATATACACAATGAAATATTACGCAGCCATGAAAATAGAATGAAATCTTGTCATGTGCAACAACATAGATGGACCTAGACAGTATTATGCTCAGTGACACAAGTCAGAGAAAGACAAATACCGCATTTCACTGATTTGTGGAATCTAAAAACAAAACAAATGAATAACCAAAACAGACTCAGTGATCTAACTGATGGTTCCCAGAGAGTAGAGTATGCCGGGACGGGTGGAGAAGGAGAAATATAGTCAATAAGATTGTGATAAGTTTACACAGTGACAGATGATTAAGAGAATTAGTGGGGTGCTCACATTGCAAGCTATGTAAATGTCAGATCACAGTATTACACACCTGAAGCTAATCTAACTAATATAATATTGTATGCCAATTATACTTAAATAATATTTAAAAGCCCAGGCAATATATATTTACTGAACATTTCTATAAAACTTTAAAATTCGTTTAAAATTAGCTAGCTCTCCCGCCAAGTGCTGCACTTGTAGTTCATGGCACACAATTACAACTTCGTTGTTTTTCTGGTGTTAAGTCTGTGAAGGAAGGGAGCCTGACTTCAATCGCTTTTCTACGTTGCCACCAGTCCCTGAAGCCAACCGTCCCAAGGCCAAGGCTTAGCCGGGCGCCACGGGCGTAGTGGGAAACACACCGAAACACACAAGTATTATAAAGATAACAACCACATAACAGGGCAAAATATCAAGTTTACTGCCAGTCCTGTACCAACATTAAGCATCTTACCAATGAAATGCTGTGATGACGCTGTCACCCAGGCCGGCTTCACGAATCATGCTTCAAGTCTGGATCCAAAACTACGTAGAGACTGAAATCCCCTGAAGTAAGAAAGTCACCCAAATGGCAGCTGAGAGAGAGACCGGAGGAACACCTGGCCCTTCCAGATTCGCTCGTGCTCCACAAGCGGGTTCACCGGGGACACAAACGTGCCCGGTAAAGACCTCCGCTCCTTCAGACGTCAGGAGAGCCCTGTGACTTCACCCGGAGGGACATTACGCTGTCACCCAGGTCTGCGACGCTCGCTCCTGCTGAGTCGGCCACCGCCCGCGGAGGGGAAAGGCAAAGGACAGTGTGTCCCAACTCGCTCTCTCCACCGGAGCCCTACGGGTGGCCAGGCCAGCTGCGGAACCCCGCCCTTGGGAAGATGCAGTTTTTCCCCCCCGGCCGCCACCGCAGTTTAAAATCGTTTCCCGACTCGCTCTGCGGCCGAACGCAGGGAGCCTCCCGGCCGCCAATTCCAAGTGAGTGAAGCAACGGAGGTCGCCATTTCAACTGAGGGCACGGTCGAGCGACCTAACCATTATCGTCCACCCGCCTGAGCTCGCGGCCGTTGCTCTACGGCTTGTCCCCGCGCGCGAAGCTTTCGTCCAATTTCCGCCCGCGCGAAGCATGGCGGCAGCGCCTGCGCTCTGATTGGTCGGATGCCTTCACCGTAACGTTGCGCGCTCGCGGGCGTTTTGGGGTGCACTCGACTCCTCCCGGCGGTCTACGTGCGGGGTTCGGGCCCTCAGAACGTTCTGGATTTGCCGTCCTTCCTCCTTCTGAAGCTCTGAGGTCGGCCGCCAGCCTGGGAGGTCCTGCCCGCGGGACGCCTCGGGGAGGGGGAGCGGGGCAGGAAGGGCCGGCGTGCGCGCGGAGCCGGCCCCTTCCGCCGCGGCGTGCGCGCGGGCCCAGCCTCGCGCTTCTGGCCGTGGCCGTGGTAGTGAATAAGTGGAGACTGATGCACCGGGTGGCGCGGGTTTCTCCTACCCACTCCCCAAGGGCCCCGGCGACCTGCCAGGACGATCCAGTTTCCTGACACGTGTACTCGAATGTTCGGCGGAGGAGGGCTTAAGTATCGGAGACGAGTGTGGGAACTGCTAGCATTTTAAGGGATTCGTGGGTACTTCCAAAACGGATTGTTGACCGCCATCCAACACCGGCAGTGGGATTCGCCAGTGTCCCGCTCCCTGCGGCACCATGGTCTCCTGCTGGTTAAATCGGCTAAACTGGGAGTTAGCCGCACCCACCGGAAGGATCGGCCAGCTGATCTGGGGTTCTCTCTCCAGGAATCTGGTGCTGAGTCCGCAGAGGAGAATTCCAGGTGAAAGCACTGACGCGCTCTCATCCTCTGACAGCACTTCTTCCTGTTCTCTGCAGGCGCAGGGCTCCCCTTCCATTTCCCCCCTAGTCTTAACTGGATGGCCTTATGTGTAGAAGCAAATCATTCTATTCATTTGTTTTACTATGGTGACTTTGGTTAACGAAATCCAGTAAGTTTCAGGTGTACAATTCAACAGTAAGGCATATATGTTTATTGCGCTGTGTTCTCTGCCCATCATTAGATTTCTTTCTGTTACTACATATTTGACCCCATCTACTAGTAAGAAGCCTAGAAAGTTCTTTCACGTTTAAAAATATTTTGAGTAGTGTTTTCTAAGAGTGCAAGTGACTTTCACTCTAGATTCATACTAAAGTTAGTTACTGCAGCATCAAACTTCTGTAATTCCTAAGGTCCTATTTCACTTGGGAAGAAATGCGCACTATTAGGAATAGGGTAATTTTTGGTCAACGCAAATGCTAAGTGAGCAAAGAAATTTAGATTTCCTAACAGCAGAAATTTACATTAAGACAGTTATTTACTTGACATTTGCAGGTAAATTTAATATTGATGGAATCAAATGACCTACATTAACTATAAATTTTATCCATTGACATGACATACCTAAGATGATGTGATTTGAGTCTTTATTTTTATGCAGTTTGCAAATGAGATATTTTTAATCTTGCTTTTTTCTTTTTAAGAATTCAGTAGCTTTATTGCCCGGACCAACACATGTGGAGAGTTGCGTTCTTCTCACTTAGGCCAAGAAGTCACCTTGTGTGGATGGATTCAGTACCGCAGGTAAATCAAGGCAGATGTTTTAATGTGCAGTGGTGTTCCCAAGGCAATTTCAAACCTTCATTAATTTAAACAGTCAGAAGAATAAAAGCTTTACAACTGCAGGATTCTCAGAATTCACTGAATTTTCAATTTTGTTTCGAAAGACCCAAATAGTATCACTCTCACTAAGTACCAGTAACATCTGCGGAAGTGTGATCTATCACCGACTGAAATATCCCTTGGCTTATGAGGGTTGAAGAGTCCTGACTAGGACAAAATTCTGAGATGTCCTAAATTAAATTACAGCCGGCCAGAGAGTAGAAGGAAGAGACAAAAAGGGCTTAGTCAGTTAACAGCTATAGTCCGAAACCAACAAAAGACTGATCGCACTCCTTAGTGTGTGTTGGAATTATTAACTAATTTCCAGGTCAATTTCTAAGACTATCTAAAAAGAGTGACTAGCCAGGCTTTTCAAGCCCCAGGCCCCTGCTCATTGACACGGGAGCTTTCCGGATTCTGCTGCTCTCCAAATCCCACCCCTAGCCCGCATCACCTTCTCCCGTTCTCTTCGTCGATAGCTAATGTAGATTCTTTCGGAATGGCTTACATCTCCCCCCCGCAAACTTGATGTACAAAGACACTTGCAAAATTATGGGATGATAGACATGTTGTCTTTTCTCCCCAGCCATGCTGCTGGTAGTTTAGACTCCACGCCCAAGACCAGTCATTTTTTGCTGGCAATGGCCTAATAAACCCTTTCTTTTAAAAAGACTTTCAGCCCTGGAAGTTAAAATTTTTGTTTCACAGTCCCTAGGTCCAATAATTGGGAATGGACCAGCTGGTCAGCTTCTCACGAGCATGAAAAAGCTTATTCTAAATATAGGTAGAGAACAGTGATTCCTTAAGATTAGAGCCAATTTTTGTTGTTGTTGTTCATCTCTGTATTCTAGAACATTTCTGAATAGTACATTAATTCACAATAAAGAGATCCCAAATACATAGATTCTGTGACCCTCCTAAAGACTATGTCCCAAATGAATGAGTATTTGACCCATAAGTTTGCTGACTTTATCTTCTCAACTCAAAATCTGGGGAGGCTTTCTGACCCTCTTCTTGGTATTAAGTATGAGATATGTAGCTTCAATACTAAAATATTAGGATTTGGGGGACCTGTGATGGATTATAAAGGTATTAAATTAGTGGTTGGACCTTTTCTAGAAAATTTTAGATTGTATCATTTTTTAGGAAAAGACTATGTTGCTATATTTCAAAAATGACCAATCATGTTTCTAATATTCTAAAGTATTACCTTGGATTTTAATATGTGGAAAGTTTCCAAATTTAATAAAATTTTTTTATAAAGATGTAAGCCAATGAAAATTTAAATTTTTTAAACATCTTTTCATCAATAAGCCACCTGGATAACATTAGTGCGTGTGTATATATAATTGGCAATAAAAATTGAAAATGAAAAAAGTCTTTTTTTCTTAAATAGCTTCATAGAAAATTTCATGACTGTAGCTAATGAAAGCACATATTTAAAAAAAGGAATATGAGAACTCATATGGGTCTTTTGTTTGTTTAATTTATTTTGCCTGTTTCAAGTTTGGGCTCAGAGATTTTATCCTAACATGTTCATTTTCCTCATTAATTAGGCAGAACATCTTCCTGGTGCTACGAGATTCCCACGGGCTCGTTCAAATTGTCATTCCCCAGGATGAGGTACTGTTACCGAAAGCCTCTTTGATGCTGTGGTTAGAGTAAGCTAAGTATGTTTGAGGTTTGAAATTCAGAGCTTAATGAAAACTAAACAATATAAGCAACATTAAGACAAATGACAAATTGGGAAAAAATATTCACTACAAACATGTACCCCTATATAAATATAAATAAGACATATGCTAATGAGCACATCAAATAACAAAGGGCTAATTTCTGTAAAAGGCTACTGCAAATCAACTCTTTTTTTAAAAAGTGACCCACTTCTAGCCAATTACACCTAGGCTGACACAGGTGCAAAATGACATAAATACAAGGTTACTTATTGCAGGATTATTTTTAATAGAAAAAAATTGGGAATCTAGATGTTCCCCAATAAGAGACTGGTATAAAAATTGTATATCCGTACAGCCATAGAAAAAAGGTTAAGAAGCTCTTTATGTACTAAAAAGGGCGGAGGAAACCAAGTATATTGTTAGATAGGGAAAAAATGGGATACAAAGTTTTATGCAGAGTGCTGTTATTATATGAGAGAGAGAGAGAGAGAGAGAGAGTGAGTGTGGGTGTGTCTCTCTGACATGTCCCCAGAAGGACACATGAGTATCTGGTAACACGGTGCCTCTGGGGAGGGGAACTAAGGGGCTTTAGGACAAGAGTAGGAGGGTGACTTCTCACTGTGTATCAATTTGTACCCTGGGAATTTTCAGCCATGTGAAGGTACTACCTGCTCAAAAATAATTCCCATTAAAATTAGGTAAGATAAAGAACTCTCGTTATGATTATTGCGCAGCATTGGTTTCTATTGTGGCAATATTTACAAATGCTTGTATGCCCAAGGAAAATACCTACTCAGCTCTAGTGTTTGACATAAGAGCAATGAATTATCTTTCAGGGATCAGGGTTCATGAACTATGTAGGATTTTTTTGCATTAATCGTTCTCCTTATTTTCCTTTAAGGAAAAATAATTTAAGCTGTTAAGAGTTTGACTTGCTGTATTAAATGGAGTCAAAATGGGGATGCAATTATCAAACTCTTTAATAAAATCATTAAGGACAGCCCCAGTGTATATGGCGGTCAGGCTACATGAGTATTAACATTTTTCTGAACCATAGAAAGTCTGTTACTACAGATTTCCTTTAAGCTCATTTGTTTCTTGGAACTGTTTTCCCCTCTTATTCTATAGTCGGCTGCTTCTGTGAAGAAGATTTTATGTGAAGCCCCCATGGAATCTGTGGTGCAAGTGTCTGGGACAGTGATTTCCCGACCTCCAGGACAAGAGAACCCAGTTAGTAGTTTAGACCTTGTCTATGTAAATTTTACCTGTGCACGTTCACACTTTCTGATTACACATTCAGGCAACAGAGGCCGAGCTCCTATTGGACATCAGGCACTACAGCTCTGTAAGTTCTACAAATGATCCTACAGATCTCCAAGTCTTCACTGCAGACGCACACACCTATATAAATACACATTAGGACATTTGTTAATGACCAGTCACATCAGCTACAGATATGCATAAGAACGTCAAAATCAGGCACAGACATTTACACTATACATTATAAGCACTGTGCATTTTACATTTGAAGTAAATCATGTGTTTTACAAACATTCACTGTGTACACGTCCTGACGAGTGATTTTGAAAATAGGTCTTTTCCTCTCTTTAAGAAAATGCCAACAGGTGACATTGAAATCAAGGTTAAAACAGCTCAACTTCTGAATTCCTGCAAGAAGCTGCCCTTTGAAATTAAGGACTTTGTGAAGGTGCGATCCTCTGTGATTAATAAAATAAGGTCTCTGGAAAATGTTAATGAGCAGAGAAGCATTTCCAGAGTTTTTTAAAGAAAAACTTTAACTATTGCAACATTAAACATTTTGTTATAGATGTATCATGAAATGTTCCATCATTTCTACAATTTCTTGGTGAACTATTCTTAAATAGTGACAACTCATTAAGCTGTTGCAGTTTCTAAACACCTAGACTGTTTTTTAAGACAGCTTGAAACGTGGTTCTATCTTTAAGACTTGGGGTGTGATTTTATTCAAGTTTTTTAGTTTCTTTTTTACATTTTGAAAGGAAATTTATGTCTAGCTTGGAAATGGCCAAGTAGCATAGGAGATCCTATGTCTACTAAGTTTAAGCGTCTAACAGTGATAAAATGTTGGCTTGACTTCCTAAGCATGTAGATATGATTTGAAAAATATTTAAACTCAAAAATCTTTAAATTTGTTTAGAAAACAGAGGCTCTCCGTTTGCAGTATCGCTACTTAGACTTGCGTAGCTTCCAAATGCAATATAACCTGCGGCTGAGGTCCCAGATGGTCATGAAAATGCGGGACTACCTCTGTAACCTGCACGGTAAGGGGGATGGCTGCGTATCCTTTGCAGCTTTTTAGCATCTCTGCTGTTTCGTTCAGCAGTTTTACTACGTCTTCTCGTCAGCATCATTGGATCAGCTGGGGCCTGAGGTCTGGAATTCACTTAATGTGTACAGCAGTTTTTGGAAGGTTACTTTCCAGGCATTTGTCCTACAGTGTAACTTAGTAACTTAGAGCATAAGTTAGTTGCCTACCACATCACAAGTATAGCTTTTCAAAGGTGATGGTGCCTTTTACATTATTTCCCATCACTAGTGAAGGTAGGACAGCCCTTTGGTTGTTACGTTTTCGTAATTTTCATGCTCATGTATCATTTGCTGTAAGCTCAGAAATGACATGGAAAATAAACTAGACTCATTAATGAGTCCTGGGGTTGTTTCTACTCTATTTGTGTTATTTCGCTACACTAGCAGAACATTTAGAAAACCGGAACAGTCCAGTAGACAGGAATCCATCAAATAATTAGAATTATTTCATGACAAAAGCATCAACTGTATGAACAGAATAAGATTTATGAAAACCTTCAGCTTCCTCCTTGGAGTTGTAGAAACCAGGATCCGTGGGCTTGGTAACTTATTTCAGTCAAAATTCCTAATGAAGGGCAGCCTCAAGTTTGTTGGACTGTACCACAGACATCATATTTGACAAATTCCTATGTATTAAGTTGAGGCATTTCTTTCTGTTTAGGGTTTGTGGACGTGGAAACACCAACACTGTTTAAGAGGACCCCAGGGGTATGTACGTTCCTTAAGTCAGCCTACCGATGTCCTATTAGTTATAAAACTGGACCACTCCGCTTTCACTTATATTCACTTGGTTGTATTTCTTTTATTTATTTTACTACCTCAAGATGGTCATATTAACTAGATTTTCTTAAGAGTCTAGAAAATTACATAGGCCAGGTTTTGAGTCAGAATCCTTTTATTCAATGTGAGTTTTCTTTCTTTTCAGTTTTATAGATGCAAATCAATAATGAATTGGTTCCTTATAGATCTCTTCTTCATTAAGAGCTAACATTTCTAAATCTTGATGTTTAACCTATTTATACAGACTATGGACTTGTAAAACTATAGTTTAATTTAGAAAAGCAGTTAGGAGACACTCGAATAGGAATTGATGCACAAAATTCGTTTAGCTAGTAACAGACTTGAGAATTCATTTTAACAAGCATACATTTCATACCTACTATGTCCAAATATTATTTAAAGCCTACTATGTGCAAGCCTTTTGGGGATTGCAAAAAATGATCTGTCATTGTGGGGACTTTGCTCTTATTTTATTTCACTGAGGGCTGAAATAGTAACTTCCTCCAGTTCTTGGGTTTCTGTTTTTAATAGTACCCCTGTTCTCCCTCTCTCATTACAAGGGTGCAAAAGAGTTTGTAATACCATCCAGGGAACCTGGGAGGTTCTATTCTCTGCCTCAGAGTCCTCAGCAGTTTAAGCAGCTTCTGATGGTCGGTGGTTTAGACAGGTGAGCTTTCAGTAGCTGTCAGAAAAATAAAAGTGGGGAGGAGGGGAAAAATTGATCTCTTAAAAGAAGGTTAGAAAATGTCTGAGAGTTTGGAAAACGCAAAATACCCTAAAACTTCATGGTCATCATTTAGTGAGGATTCATTGGGTGGCCACCAAGTACAGAACTAGTAGCTGTGGCAGGGGATTCAAAACAAAGAATGAGTTTTGCTCTCAAGGAGTTAATGGGTCTGGTAAGAACAGGATAATAAAATCAACTGTGACGGAAACCAAAAATAAGTGCATTGAGAGTTGCAAAGTAGGTATTGAAAAGGTTTGAAATTTTATTGTCTTGGGAAGTGTTATAAAGAACTTTCTGAGCTAGGCCTCCTGGGAAAGAGCTGCATTTCAGCAGACGAAGATGAGCGTGGAGGGCATAGCACAGGAAAGCTATTCATGGAGTAGTACAGGTTGCAGTGCAGCCGACGCAGAAGGGTCTGGAAAGAAGCGTGCGCCGCCTTGCCTATCGGTCTCATGTGCGGCTCTCCAAGGGTGCCCTTGTGTGTCTCCAAAGCAATAGATAGAACAATCCATTTCTCATGGCTCAGCCATGTAGCTGATTAGAACACCATGAAAGATTTTTAAATTTCTTACATCCTTTAGTTACCATTATTCATTTATTTCATATCTGTATTGCCATGAACTTCTGTTGAAAAGTGTGTAAGTCTTCCCAGAACCATGACTCATGCCGTTTTTCAACTGTAGATATTTTCAGGTTGCCCGATGTTATCGAGATGAAGGTTCGAGACCAGACAGACAGCCCGAGTTCACTCAGGTACTAAGTTACGTTCACTTGTCTCTCACTGGTTCCGCCTCACTACAGCCAAGTATTTCCCGACCAGAACAGTAGTTACATATACTGTCCTTCTCATTACATCTTATCCATCAGATATTTAATGAAACTAGTCTGCATTTCAGATACTGATTATTTCCTTTTTGATCTATTTCCTGTTTCCTTTTTACACTGAGAATAGTTATCAAGTACGCAAAGCCAGAGATTCTCACAGCGCTTCAATGGTCATGATGTGATAACGTTCTTAAGATATCTCTTCTACATTAAGAACCAATAATTCTGTGTATTCTTGATATTTAAACTATTTCTCTAATCTGTGGATTCATCAGAACTATTGTGACTGGTTTCTGTATGTAGCATGTTAATCAGTGTGGCAAAGCACACAAGGCATAAGCTTTGAAGGTGGCCTGACCCGGGATCAAGTGTAGCTCCACTGCTCACCAACTACACGTTCACAGGCAGGTTACCTAGCTTCTCTGAGCCTTAGCCTTGAGATGGTCATGGATATTAAACAATCTGATGTGTTTAAAGCATTAGCACAGTGCCAGACATAAAACAGCCGTCCGGTAGTGTTTGTTCCCCTCTGTGTAGTAAGTATTTATGTCCCGAATCCTATGGTGACTTGAAACCAGAGAAATATATAAATACGTACATGTGACTGTTGTGGCTGTTCAAGTTAGTTACCTATGTCATTTGGTTTCAGATTGACATAGAGATGTCTTTTGTAGACCAGACCGGGATCCGGAGTCTCGTTGAGGGTTTGCTCCAGTATTCCTGGCCCAGCGACAAAGGCCCTGTGGGGGTTCCTTTTCCTTCTTTGACTTTTGCTGAGGCGCTGGCCAGCTATGGAACTGATAAGCCCGACACTCGCTTTGGGATGAAGGTACTTTTCACTGTCCAGGTCTCTGGCCCAAACAGTCCTGCAGTCTTTCGAACCACTTTGAAATCTACAACGAGTTACACTCACAGTTTTATCATATTTTTTTGTCGTTACCTTGGCTTGTTACCTTTGTCATGGAGATACGCCGAGAGAATAGGAGCTTCTTAGCGTTACAGTATTTTTTCCCTGTCTTTTACTGTGTTCCAAAGCCCATTTCCAAGAGCGAGGTTCTGCAATAAAGTTTTTATGACTGACAAGTTATTCATCACATGGGCATGAATGGTAACTCAAAAGGGAAAAAACCCTAATCTGCCCTCTCGTTTTTCTTCAGCTAAACTGACACTTGGAAGGCAAATGAGGAAGAGTTTATTCTTTTCCATTGTTCTTTAAAGAGCTCAAACGTATGGAAACGTTTATTCACATTATTAAGATGGACACACAGTAACTAAGGGTAAGGGTAGGAGGTATTAGGAGCAGTTTCCATCAGCGAGCTCCTCGGTAGTTGCTGTTAGAAAGGAGCAGCCCTTGTCTTGGTGATGCAGTGACGTTTGTGTCTGTTCTCAGTACACGGTCCTTAGAAACAGCTCTGCTCGCTCTGTGTATACGCAGTGCTCAATTCTTAGAGTGAAGAACACAGTACACAAAAAGTCCTGACTGCCTTCTCCCAGCTGCCAGCTCACCACCCTTGTTTCTTCGTGTGTCACGTGGAATAGCGGTTCTTACGTCAGCCCACGCAGGTTCAACTCTGGCTCTGCCACTTCCTAGCCGTGTCATCTTGAGCAAGGCATTTCCTTCTCTGCGCCTTGGACTCTTCATTTATTAAGCAAGGATAATAAGAGCGCCTGCTTCATACTCTTGTTTTACAGATGAAATAAATTAATACTCACGAATAATCCATCATTCGTTGTCATAGTGCCGACCCGTGGTAACCACCTTGTGAATGTACTCTATATGTGTTAACAGATCTGCTTTCTTCTCTAAAATCTTGTTTGTGAAATGTTTTGAGATAAAAATTCCTTCATGTTTAGTTGACCTTATTTTTACCCGCTTTCCAGATCGTAGATCTCAGTGATGCGTTCAGAGACACAGAGGCTGGGTTCCTTCAAGAGGCGCTTGGGACGGCCCAGGGCACCGTCAAAGCCATGTGCGTCCCTGACGGAGCGGTAAGTGAGGCACAGTTCTCCGTGTGTGCACTGTGTGTTTGGGAAGTGCGGATGGTCAGTGTCGGCACGTTTCAACTTCAGACAGAGCAGTTCTCTGCAAACAAGAATATATGTTCTTATATCAAGTCTGACGGTGTCTCTAAAACTGTAAGTAGAAAACAACAAAACCTTATGAAAATGAGTTTATGCTCAAGATCTAGATCTTTTTTCTTCTCTAAACAATGCTATAAAGTACTCCTGTACTTCATTTGGGATCATTTCCGCCAGTAATGAGCAAAAAATAGCATTCATATTTTGTCTCCAGCCTCAGTTTGTCCAAGGACTGTTAGCTTAGCCCAACATAACCCTTGTATGCTGGTTTTTGAACAAGATCACTATTTTGAAAGACTACTCATTTGGATATATAAGCTTATTGAGTATGTTCAAAATGGGAGTAAGAGTTCGGTCTCATTACTTTTAATTCACTTCCTATGTTCAGTGGAATGTAATGTGGTATCCATACTGTAGTCCAGACATGATGAATAGATTCAGGTAAGCTCAGTGTAATGAGTGTCGCCTGTATTATTTAGCCCAAGTTGAGGATGTCCATTCTTCCCTAAGTAGATCGTAAGAGTTGCTGGGTCATGAGACCCATCTCCCCCTTCCCATGTCTCCCATACCCAGTTAAGGGCCCCATGACTATTAGTTCTGATGATAGTGTCTCACTTAGAAAGATATTGAGACAATTTAGAAAAAGTTAAAGAATTTTAAGAGACTTGAAATATTCAAATTCTGAATCATCTTACTGACCTGAAAGTTATTTTTTCTTTCACAATTCAGTTGTAAAGATTCAGTTTGAACCTTTATCCTGCATATTACATGGAATATATTCACAGCGATTTTCAGTGAGACTTGCATAATTGGGGGGAAAAAAGCCCTGTAACAAGCTTAAAAACTTTATCATTTGGCAACAGAAATTAAATTTTCGTTGAATCTATTGTGATGGAAAGGCACAACATGTATTTCTGTTCCATTTGATATAAACATGTTTATGAAGCTGAGTGTCATATTGATGAGTTTACTCCGATTTTCTTTCATCAGAAATTCTTAACAAGGAAAGACATTGAACACATTAGAAAATTTGCAGCTGACCATTTTAACCAGGTAAGGAGTTAATTAGAGCATTTTTTCCTCTGTCTTTTATGGACTCAGTGTTTTTAACTAACAATTGCTCGAACGCTCACGCTGTTAGTTTCGAGGGTCTTGTTCTTTCAGATCATCCTTCTACTTTTCCTCTTTTTATTTTTAAACTTAATCTTAATCTCTGGGTATAATTCTAAGATTTCAACTTGGACAGTTGAATTCACCGTTAATCATATTTTTAAAAGAAACGATGGAACTTCAGTCCAGTTAGGAAGACAAGCAGAGCCTCAGTGCCCAAGGTTTACATGAGAGTGTGGCAGGTGGGAAAGAAAGCCTGTACTCATTGTTCTTCTCGTACTGGTTTTTAAAACTCCGAATCCACCTCTGATGGACATGTTCTATGTTCTTGGCTTGGCTAATGGCAGAACTAAAATACGGAGGAGCAGGAGTGGAAAGTGGGCATTCTTACATTCTCACTGGAAATATAAATTGCCTCGGCCATTTTGGAAAGGCTTTTTGAGACACTAATTTTCTGTGACACACTTGAAATAAAGGAAGGACCCAAAATATGAGGAGTCTTTATGCTCATCACAATATCATTTATAACAGGAATAAAATGAAACCATATGGGAAGTGATTAAATAGATTAAAGTGTAATCAAAGGAATTCATATTAAAGTTTGTTCTAAAACTTTGTCTCCTAAGAGTTTGCAATATGGGGAAAATGTTCGTAAGAAAAGGAGAACACAGAATTCCACGTACGTGGGTCACAGCTGACTCTCACACTGTTTGTGAATTGAAAATGGACTGCGCACCTGTCGCACCAGCGCCTCCCAAGCCTCAGAGCTCAAGCTCAAAGAGATTTTTCAGTATGAGAAAGATTAGGATGGTGGTTTCCAAGGCTGGCCGAGGCATAATGGAAAAGTCAGGAAAATATAAAAAGTTTTTCATAAAGTTAAATGAATTTAAAGAACTATCCTTTACTTCTTGGCTTTGTTTTTTTTTTGCTATAAAATGCTCTTTTATGAAATGATAGCAATAGTAGATAATATTTTGGGTTTGTTGTATGCCCTTGATATAATTCGAAATTGGCAACCCTGTATCTCCTGATTTGGGTTCTTTATTTTTATTTTACTAGTGTCTGAAACCTGCATCTAGGAGATAAGCCTGAAGGTTAACTTGGCAGCCTTTAACTTGAACTATTACTACGTTTTCTTCTTTTCTTCTTCTACTCTTTCTTTTCCTCTTTTCTCTTTTACTTCCCTAATTTTCTAAATTTTTATATTAGAAATGAGTTCTACTTGTTTTTTTAATTTATTAGTGTTTTAACTTGATTTGGCTTGAATTGTTATTAGCGTTTGTATATTCTTAGCAGTATGCGCATGCCCGCGGTTGAAAAACAATGAAGAACGATTCGTAATGAAACGCGTTAGTGTTTGCACTAGCCTGCGCCACCCTGGTCCCATGTCGCGCGGTCTGTTTCCAGACGTCTGGCCACGTACTGCCCTTTTTCCCCTTCTTGTCCATTTTAAACTTTCCCTGTTAACTTCCTGCAATGAGACGAAGCTCCAAAAGAGCCCTGAGCGTGTCCAGGATTCTGCAGGGTAAAATCAGTGGGCTGCTTCGCGGTCTCTGGCCAGAGCTTCCTGCACATCGAATCTTTAGTCATTCCTGTTCCATTCACTTGCAACCTGCCAGAAACCTGCAGAAAGCTCTTCTCTGCTGATATTCCTCCTCGTCCTCCATTCTCTCTGTTTTTTCATTGTGATGAGATTACTTTTTTAATTCCATTAGTATCATTTTGAAGGGGTTCAGGGAAGGAATAGAGATCATCTCATGCAGATTCTCTCCTATTAGGAACAATAAGTCCTTGTACCACAAGATAGACAGGCCGACCCCACTTTTTAAAAAATCGGAGTCTTTGTCTTTATCACAGGAAGTCTTACCTGTATTCCCAAAAGCCAATCGGAACTGGAATTCCCCGGTCGCCAAGCTCATCGTGGAGGAGCAGGGGTCAGGACTCATGAGACGCATGCAGGCCCAGGAAGGGGACGTGCTCCTGCTCACGGCCGGAGAGCACCCGAGAGCGGTGAGAAGTCCTCCCGTGCCGCCGAGGCTGGCCGGCGCCCCTCCTCCCCGCACGCGGCGCGGCTTTGACACTGGGCGTTCATGTCATCAGACAGAGCTGAAAGATAAATATCTTTCAGTGCTTCATAAAGCGTCTAGAAAAACTAGGCTTTTTTCACCAGTTACCAGGCTCCACGGGCACAGTTCACACAGATCGGACCTGGCTCTCATTAGGAAGGCCACTTAGAGGGATGTTGGCATTCATTATACAATTATGAAAAAGTAGTTTCATTTTCGAGGTTTTGCACAGTCTGAATGGTGGCCGTCACAGTGACGATGCCCTTACTGCTCCCTTACTGCTCCTGACGGGTGTGGTGAGGATCCGGTGAGTGCCTGCATGCCGCCCATGTCCAGGAAACGCTGGTTCACCGGCGGTGGTGTGGGTTAGAGTGTGACTTCTGGAACCAGACTTTGGGGGTCAGAAAAAAAACTCTGTCTCCTCCACTTGTGTGTGTGTGTGAGCAAAAGTTTTAGCCTCTGTGCCTCAGCGTCCTTATCTTTACAAACGTAAGAGTATCAGTACTTCTCTCAGTAGGGTTGGCATGAGGATTAAATAATACACACCGAGTACTCAGAACAGTGCTGGGCTGTAAACACGAAGTTCTTAATAAGTGAATCATCACGACAGCCTTTGGAGTAGATGTTTTCATCTCCATTTTACCATGGGAAAGGTGCAGACAAGTTAGGGACAGACCCAAGGAGGGACACACCCAGGCCAGTCAGGCTCTGATAGCTGTGTGCTCAGTCGCCGTGCTGTGAGGTGCTCACCACGCTGCTGAGTCTGACAGTCATCCCCAGCCGTGTCGCAGTCAGGTCATCCTCCCGCCTTTGTCTCCGGAGAAACTTAGGGTGTCCCTTCTATCACTGGCGCATCCTTTCTCAGACAGTGGCCTGGCTTCAGAATCCAGCCGTCACTTGCTGCCTGCTCTGTCACCTACCTCGATGTTCCCGTCTTCTGTTTGCAGTGCTCTCTGTTGGGACAATTACGACTGGAGTGTGCCGACCTTCTGGAAGCGCGGGGCGTGGTGCTGCGTGACCCGGCTCGCTTCTCTTTCCTTTGGGGGGGATTTTTTTTCTTCCTGCCCAAGGCGGGGCACCCCGGAGAGCTGGAGTCAGCCCACCACCCATTCACTGCTCCCCACCCCAGCGACGTCCACCTCCTGTCTGCTGAGCCCGAAAAGGTACCTTACCTGCCCTTCCAGGTAAAAAGGAAACGTGGGAACAAAGGCAGAGGACTTCCCATTGCAGTCCGGCCCTGTTCTGGAAGCCCCAGAAGAAACCGTCGGGTTTGAGTCAGTAGTTAACATTCTCTGAGCAGCCGCGATGTCTTCAGCCTGCGGAACAGAAAGCCAGAGACTCTGACACAAAGGCCTGAATCTTCTAGGTCCGGAGCCAGCACTATGACTTGGTTTTAAACGGCAGCGAGATAGGAGGCGGGTCCATCCGAATCCACGATGCGCGGCTGCAGCGCCACATCCTGGAAACGGTCCTGAAGGTGACCTCGTCGTCTACCCCGGCCTTGGCTTTTGGAAAACTAGAATATTTACCTGTTAAAATGCGTTATGATGGAGGCATCACTAGGCTTAGAACAGTGCTGGCTTGGCTCTCTGCCTTCAGTGCAGACTTCGGTCGGTAAGCGACGGTGGCTGTTCACGGGTGCTGACTGGCCTGCCAGGCACTGCTCGGTTCTTTGTGTCATTGACACACATAACCCTCGCAGTTACTTTCCGAGATAAACACCCTTATTCTGCCATTTTACAGATGAGGCACTGAGGCAGATTAATTAATTCGCCCACAGTCTTGTTTTGTGGACTGACTCCCGGGTGCACGCTGGGCTGGAACTGTGGCTTTGAGGTCGGTGTTGGCAAACTCGAAGCACCAGCCCCCTCACGTTAAGGGCACCGGGGCCCCTAACACACCGCGCCCCAGAGTCGCAGCCTCCAGCCTTCCGTTTGGCAGCCTGTGTTTTTCATTCCTTTCTCTGCCAACCTTCTGAGAGTCAGTGAAAACACATCGCTCCCGCCGCTCCCCTCCACACCGGTGGCCCTGCCCTGCCGCCCGTGACAGTGGGACACGCGGGAGCAGAACGTAGCGCTGCCGCCCGCCAGACCAGTGCCGTCGCCAGCTCTCACTGTGAGGTCCTGGCACGGCTTCCTCGGAAGCGCCCCGCTGGATTCTGATCTGCAGTCTGCTTAGAGAACCGTTCGCGGACAGAATTCCAGTGTTTCCACGTGCTCGGCCCCATGACTCACTCCTGGTCACCAAACCCAGTGGCCCGTTCTCAGCCCCCAAGCTGCCCCGCCTGTCCCAGCAGCGCTTGACACTTGACCCTCCCCAGGCCCCCGTGCAGAATGGTTTCCTGCTTTCGTCCTGCCTTCCAGAGCCCGCCCCTCCATGTCCGTGCGGGTCTGACTCTGCGGTATCAGTATAATAATAGCTGCATTTAGGGAGACCAGGCGCCTCTCTGCATGTTTAATATCTGTGACTTGTCCTGTTCTCTTACTAAACTGTAAACCTATTAAGGTTCTTTTTTAACTCAGCTTTATTTTCCCTTTAACACCTCAGCACACCGTATGGCGCTTAGTGGACCCTCAGTATATATTTAAATTGAATTTCTTTTAATTTCAGGAAGATGTGACATTGCTCTCCCACCTGCTCCAGGCTTTGGATTACGGGGCGCCCCCTCACGGAGGAATCGCCTTAGGTAAAGTCTGTCCTTTTACAAGCTGCATTTCGATCCCTAGCACTACGTCTCAGATTTGAGCTTAGCTCATGGGGGGTGATGGAGGAGTAAATAAGGTAGGGGACGAGCCCAAGGGTCCTACAAGACCTTGTTTTCATTTTAATGATATATTTTTTTAAACATATTTTACTAGTTATAAAGAGCAAACTTAACAAGGAGTTTGCAGTTGAGAGGCTTTTTAATAGCATGAAAGTACGTAGTCTGCACTGAGGATCGCCCACAGCCCCGGGGCCCAGACACACTGATGAGGGTCTGGGAAGCTCTGCTGCGGGGCCTTCGGCCGGTTGACAGGAGCATCTGCCGGCCAGGGCCGTGGTTGCTCACGCTGCTTGTTCTGTCAAGCAGGGCAGAGTGAGGAATTCTAAGAAGCCCACCCGGTTACAGGCCCTCAACAGCACAGACCGGTGTTCTTGGCGTCCCCTACACAGCACCTAATTTTGCTCAGGCCTTAGTAAGCCCTTGCTAAGGGCTCATTAAACTACTGCCACCGTAGATCCCAGCAGCATGTGAATATTGGTCCTGAGTATTTTTCTGAAATGCAAACAAATGAAAGTTCCCTAAAAAGGCAGTGAACTGTGCTTGGCTGCAACTTGGTAAAGATTCTTGTTTAAAAGTTCTTTACAACCTTTATAGAAAAATGAAGTCCATCCTAATGTTAGATTACATGCTCATCTGTTAATACTGTATTTTACTCACAGGATTAGACAGACTGATGTGCCTTGTCACCGGAGCACCAAGCATCAGAGACGTCATAGCCTTCCCCAAGTCCTTCCGGGGGCACGACCTCATGAGCAATGCCCCAGATTTCATCCCTCCTGAGGAACTGAAGCCCTATCATATCCAGGTCGCCTGGCCAACAGACTCAGAAGCAGAAAAGAGCTCGATGAATGATCCTCGCCATCCAGAAAGTTGAGCTTTTGTGTCTTGTCACCTTTGCTTCCTCGAGGCTGAAATGAGACCGGGAGTCCTGCCACAGAGCTGAGAAGTCTTTGGGTAGAAGGTCTCCAGGCAGCATTCTCCACGGTGAAGAAACAGATGGAAGGTGTCCAGTTTTGACTTGATGACATGCATTATTAGGATTTTTTTGTTTGGGACTCTTGAAGCTTCTTTTTACTTGGAGAAATGTGGAAGATGGCTCTTTGTTGGGGTAATACAATGGCTAAGTGTTTTCTAATCATGTTTTTCATACCTGGATAGTAGGTTGTTCACTTAGGGCAGAAGTAATCAAATCATGTGTGAAATGTGAGAAATGCTTGCCCCACGGACTGGCCAGCTGGGGAGAAGTCAGTTTGGCCTTGTCAAGAGAATCCTATAAATGAAGCTGGACAGTGACATTTCACTATTAACATAACATCATGAAGCACAATATAATCAAAAAATCACTGAAATGAGAGACACAGAATCTCAGCGCTTCACCTCAAGTGAGTTACATAAACCTCTCAGCCTCCCTCCTCCCGTGAAACACGAACTGTACCGGCCCTGGCAGCCCCACCCGGCCCTTCTTGCCAGAATCAGAGGAAATAACGTATGTGCGAGATAATGTAATAAAAACACTTTGAAAAACTGTCAGGCATGATACAAATGGAAGATTATCCATCCATCTATAAACAGACACAAGTATATCTCTGTATTTTATAGTGTAAGATTAAACAGAACTGGTATCTGTACTAAAAGAAAAACAAATTATTAATCAATATTGTCTATATTTCTTTTAAAAAATCATTAATCCCTAAGTTTCCTTCAACCATAAGTAATTGAATATATTGACCTTAGACCAACCTCAAATGTGCAAAAAAGTGAACACTCAAGTCCATTGTGATTTTCTTGCACATTCTGACACAGATAAAAGCTTATGATTAATAACTATAAAATGGGAACAAGGCCTTAATGAAATTGTTCTACGTTATCTTCACTTTTGCCTTGATATCCTTTTGATATAATGTATAAACACTGAGCATCAGTCTCACGTCTGTGCTTCTCTGTGCTCTAAGCCATGTGGTGCCGTAATCATTTCCTATGTGAAAGTAAAGTCGGCTGCATTTCCAGATCTCATTTGTGACTCGTAGTGAGTGGGCCGTGGAGAGCTGGTTCGCCACTGGGTGGAGCCGTTCCCTGAAGCTGGCCCCTCGACCTGGTGTGGACCCTGTGTCCCCCGTCTGTGCGTGTCTGGCAGAGTGTCCAGCTCTGCCTCCCCTTTCTCAGTGGAATGTCTAGAGATGCCCTTTACTGGGTAGGAAAATGCAATTTTGCATCCATTTATCCCACGTGGATGTTTCTAATTTCTAAATATAAGAAATTCACTACTCACTGTTGAGAGCCTGACTGACCAAAATATTATCTTTCCACCATGAAATGAGAGTTACAGAAAAACATCCAAAACCTAGAGGATCTTTTCTAGCCTATAAATACCAAAAGCCCCAGGTCCCCAAAAGTCACACAATCCTGTGTTGGCATCTCAGAGACCCTAGTCACTTGGGGCATCACTCAACTTTTCTTCAGTACCGTCTGTCAGGAAAAAAAAAAAATGCTTATTCTGAAATCCAGGGAAATGTCACTATTTTAAATCATCATTGAAGTGGAATGAAATTTAAAATATTTCCTCAAAAATTAAGGAACTACTTACTAATGAAGTCGAAAACAACACAACCAGGATCCTAAAATGCACAAAGTAATTATAAACTGGAAGCTAAGATTATTCCAGATCCAATCTCCAACCTCCTAGGGAATTTAGATTTATCCTATGTTGAGAGTTTTAAAAGCAAGATAAGCAATTGCCAGCTACACCACTGATAGTTATTAGCTTCAAGAGAGTTTTGTGAACAATTTCTCCTTGTAGAGAAATATATCAGATGATGAGTCTGCAGGATTGCTTTGTGCTCTTGGGTTTTGGTTGAATAAAACTGCATCTTTGCAGCTGCTCTGCCTGTTCCCAGAATTCCCTTCCTGAAGAACCAGAACTCTGACATCACATTCCTTGCGGATTTTCTGTTAAGCGAACATCTTAAGGATCCTGCCGCAAGGATGCTTTTTGCTCATTTCAAGAGTGAGTTACTCGCAATGTGAGAACCAGGTACACGATGAACATCTGTATTTAAGATGACGGACCCCTCATATTCTTTAAAAATTACTGCAAACCCCAAAGCTCTATAGTGATCTATTACGACTGCAGTAGGAACTGATTTCTGATAAACATTTGAATTCAATTGAAAATAAACCGTTTCAGTAACACACAGCATATTTTACTTAAAAAAATAATTACTTTCTAAAACATTAGAAGAGTCATTGTTTTACATTCTGCAAATCTTTATGATGTCCCTAGATGCTCAGATCTGCTTCTGCATTCCATCTGTTGTGATACATTGTTTTGGTTGAAATGTATGAAGAAAATCTGGCTTTAAACAGATAGGGAGCTAGAAAGGGGAAGAGTATTTTAATAGTCTTCTCTGATCATCATGGATATTCTTCCTTGATACTACACCTAAACTTGACAAGTTCCTTAAAAGTTAGTCACAATGTGGAATCTGGTGCAGAGCTTCCCCTGGAGGAAGTGAGGACCGTCCCCACAGGTCACCCCCTACCTCCTCACTGCCCCAGAGAACCTTTCAGCCTTCCCCCCTCTCTGCTAAGGGTAGATCTCCTGAGCCATCGTGCTGACCTGAGCAGAAACTACACTCAGAGGCGTTCGCTTAGCTTCTGTCCGTTGTGGGTGTTTTTCCCGACGGTTCCCGGGGATTATGTGTACTTCACCCTGGCTCAGCCCCATTCGTTCAAGGCTGCTGAGGTTAGTGCCACCGGTGTTCCCCGCCTGGAAACTCGACTGGGGGGATGCTGCCACCTGGTGGTGGCACTGCGAATTGCCTTGCGTGGAAATCTCAACCAGAGAGCACGAAAGATGCCATAAAAGACGGCTTTGAAAAAAACACAAAATGCAAAACTTGTAGAGAGCGAGGGTGAACATCATAGGAAGTCTCTGAGTTAAGCATATGTGGTAAATGCACATTCGTTCCATGTTTGGCTAATAAAAGCAAAAGCTTAGTATTTGTTGCAGATTTCTTTTCTCCTTTTGTTAAATCACTACTTGGTTATCATGGTTAAAAATGAAACGCATCCTTTGTAATTGATGCATTTGTTGTTTACAACTTTAACAATCTAAGTGCTACAGTAGATATACAAAATGTCATGAGAGCATGAATTGGTAAGTGGCATTTGGAGTTAGGGATATCGTCACAATCATTCACTACACAGGCATTCAGTGACGAGTGTCCGGATGCCAGCAGCACAGTAGAGGCTTTGTAAAGGAACAAAGGTGAGGCACCATAGCCACACGCAACCCTTCTTCGTTTTTTAGCACCCGCTAATATATAATATAAATAAGAACACTAAGCAAAAGCTATTTGGGGACTATGGTTGACATCAACCCAGTATGTGAGCAGTGTGCAGTGAGACCACCAAAAGTCAATGCCATGTTCAGGGCATTCACGAAAACCTTGGTTCCAGAACAAAGAGGCTTGTTTCTGACCCGCCCGAGGTGGTCAGATCCCCACTGCAGCACCGTGTCCTCGTCCGCGGTCCCACTCTGGGAGCAGCCCTGATCAATCTCCCCCCACCCCCCGCCAGGACCCCCACTCGGAGCCATGGGCAGTTACTGGACCACGCTGGGATGAGGAAGTGGGTCGGGACCGGGGATGTTAGTGTCACGCTGGATTTGACAAAATCTTTTGACCTTGCTTAAGTCCCCTGAAATGATACATGCAGAATGGCCAATGCAAGCTGTCCCCAGCTGGTCTTTGCTATTCTTATTCGAGTTCCCCGAGAACCCCCACACAGAAGCTCCCGGTCTTAGCATGGTGTACAGACACTGCAGGGTGCTATATTTTAATGTAATGTAGAAAAATGCTTTTATCAAATAGTTTGAAGATTGTGAGTTCCCTCACTTGGAAGTGGCAGAGGAGGTACCTGGTAGAGAAGGCTGAGGCAGTTAGATAACCCCAACACTAACCTTTTTAAACTGGGGCTGCCATGTTCTGACTTTTCCCATGGATGTGGTGAGGGGGGAATGGATCAGACAATCAGACACCCACCTTCCTCCTCTGAACGGCTTCCGATGCCACCTAAAAGCATGTCCCCCACGGTCTCCTGTGGCAGCGCTCGGGCCAGCGTCACAACTGAGATCACATGATGCTAGGCATTCTCAGCTATGGCTTTGCATTGCATGGGGCTGTATGATCACTCAGGCCTGTCCTGCCTGGAGCAAGATGACCTCTTAGGAGCTGCTGGGCAGCTGGACATTGCTTGCAGGTTAGACAGATGCGGTTAAACATTCCCATGTAGAAAACTGAATAAAGCCAAGATGGAAACTGATGATATGCAAATCCAATCTCTCTTATCGCCAGCCCCGCCACATGCCTGTCCAACTGCCCGCCCGATACCAAGGATCTGGGGGTTTAGGGATACTTCTGGAAGAAGCATGGCTAGTCTTGCGGGCCAGCCTATAATTCAAACACTGAACATGGTTTTTCTAGGAAAAAAAGTGTATGTGCTATGTAGCATAAGTGCTTCATGTGTACTTCTCAGTCATAGAAAACATTAAAATGGCATGTACTCAAAATCGAGATTTAATAACAAATTCCAGAATGATAAAGCTGTATAAAAGTTACTAAAATTTGTGAAATTGAAATAAGCCTCTCCAGTTTTCTGAATTGGAAAATGGCACCGAGATACTAAAGAGGTAATGAGGACATATAACCTTTATATATAAGAACATAGAACTCCCTACCCTCCGCTCTCAGGGAAGATCCTCTGCTCAAAACGTTCCAGCATTTTCCTGAGAAAAGCCAGTCTTTATTTACACTGTCATCAAACCTCTACCCTGCCACTTGCTACCTGGCCTTGTCCTCCTCACTCTCCCCTGCTCCACTCCCCAGCGTCCTGGGTCTTCCCGTTCACCAGGCAGGAGCCCACGTCCGGGCCTTTGCCCTAGCTGCCCCGGCGCCTTTCCTCCAGGTAACCGTGCTGTTCACTCCCTAGTATCAGCTTTGCTCTGCTTCCTTTTCAGTGATTTCCGACAATCATATGCAAAAGAATGCGCCCCTGCCACCCCCAGCACCCTCCATCCCCTTCCCTAGCTTTATTCTTCCCTCATCTGATACACTACATTTTACTTCGTTTGCCCCACTAGAATGTAAGCTCCATGAGGGCAGGTTCATTTTTGTATTGTTTTCTGTGGTTATCTATTCCCAGCACCTATAACACTACTTGGCACATAACAGGTATTCAACAAACATCTGTTGGATGAATCACCAAATGATTGACTAAAACATGCCGAGCTCTAGGCTAGGAGCTCAGGGTGGCGGTGGCGTGTAGATGAACAAACTGTGATCCCCATTCTGGAGGTTTTTAGCTTGTTAGGACAGATGAAGCAATCATGCTGAATGAAGCCATGCAGAGGCAGAGACCAAACCAACAGCACGGAAGCAGAGAGCCCTCAAATGCTGGGAGCTGTTGCTTCGCTAGCTTAATTCCTGGCATTGAGCTTTCAATGCTCTGGGCGAATAGGTAGGTCACCTAAGAGTCCAATCTCAGCTCATCCATACAGCAGTACACCTATGTTTCCCCTAGCTTTGCTTCTGGTACAAGCCTAAAACATTTTCAAGCTCAGGAATGTTAGAGCTTGAGGATCCCTTTAAAATCTGTAAACATAGTTTTACTAAACATGAGAATCGGTTTAAGAGCTGACATTTTTAAAGATAAGCCCCAGTTTTAAACTACAGAACCCAGCTTTCCGGCTTGAGAGCATAATTACATGGAGATCCTTTGTGTTCTTGGCAGTACATGAAGTGAAACCATTTACTAAACTAGAACTGCTACTTTGTTGGTTGTGATGAACTGGGATCATTTTCATCAAGGAAAATGAAAAATTTGCACGGGATCTCAGTAAATGGGATTCGAGTCTATCATCTGGCAATCAGTAATTCAGTTCCAGCGCTAAAAAGAACCCTGCACATGTCACCCTCCCACACCTTCACCCAGTGCACGTGACATGCTGTTCACTGTCACCTGTGTGTGGTCTCGCAATTTAATCATCTGCCTATTTATCCACAGAATCTTTCATCACCCACGTATTGAAAACAGGACTAATGCTTGTTAAGTATACTAGAAATGTCCCTTGATTTACAGCTTGTCATCACTTTGCGGCTAGCTTCCTGCCAGCCATGAGTTCACCTAGTCATCCAGGCCAGACCCTCATGAAAGGTCCCTGCTGCACGTTGCTTTTGTGTAACTTCCCCATTTCAAAATTTTATCTTCAGCCTTTTGGCACAGTCATCAAAACTTCCCAAAGACTCATCTGATCGCACCCAACTCTTTCGATAAATATTGACCACCTACTGAATGACAGATTGGAATATCTAAATCCCTCTCACAAACTTTATATCCTTGTAGGAAAAACTGTGGTACAAAAACATAGCTGGTGCAGGTGATGGTGCCGTTTCACAGGGCCTCAGAGCCCGTGGGAGGAACCCCAAGGTGGGAACCTGACCTTTCCTCAGAACGTGAAGCATAAAAAGCCTTGATACTTCAAAGCAGAAATGCTGCTAGAGCTAATAGAGCTTGAAACAACTTCCTCAACCTGAGTGTCAGAACTCACCCTCACAGTGCCTAACGTTGAGAGAGAAAACCTGGCCACCTTTTCCAGATTTACAACGTGCAAGATTTTTAAGCTAACAAATAGGTTAAGTCCTAGGAAATCACAACTCGATGTTCCAAGTGCTAAGCTAGGAAGTGAGCTGAAATTTGACTGACAGGGACTTACTTTTCAGGCTTTTCGGTGCTTTTAAGAGAAAACGATTTCTTTGGTAATTTAGTTATTAACTTGAAGTAAGTGCATTCATACCTCAATTCTTTTTGCAAAATTACTTCTAAATACTGATTTTCTAAAGACAAGGTCATTGGAATCACAGTCCTAATAACCTCAAAAATGTTAAGTCCGTCCCAGTTTTGGGGGGCTTTCAATATGCATCTTTCAGGGGAGATCTAAAACAAGCAGTTACTCTCCCTACACATAAAATTCGGCTCTATCAACACTTGCCAGAGACCCATTGGTACAGCACTTATCACCAAGGGAGATTTCTCAGTTTCAGCACTTTCCATACCACTGCTGACATCAAGAGCCATCTACTGTTCTTTGCAATTTTATCTACGTGAGCTCATGTTGACGGTTCAGCTGCCCATAAGGGAACCAAACCAGAGGAAGGGCTGTAGTTTTCGCCTCAGCATAATCAACTGCACTTTCATTCCAGCCTGGAACATGCTGTAACACACAAGAAAATGCCAACTGGCTGTATCCTTAGGGACCCTAGTGCCACAGTGTCTTACTTAACAAAGATGTCCTACATTCCTTCTCTCATGCCAGAGTTGAAATAAGCAAACTTGATCAGATGACTTATAAAAGTTTATTAAAATTCATTAATTGTTTGACAATCTATTTCACGAGCATCCATTCATCCAGCTGCCTGCAAGGACAAAGCTATTTTTAGTCACATTTCCATATTTCAATTCTAATAGTATTTAAAGTACACAGAATATCAGATCTTTAACTATCATCAATATAATCAGTGAGAGAGTTCAAGTTGGGGTGAGATCATCATTTATTCTGGAGAAAGACAACAATACCAATATTTTCACGGCTTACCTTTCAATGGGCCAGCTGTATTGACCACTGTCACAAGTGCCCTATAAAGCAGAGATTACACATTAATCATGGTAAAAAGAGCTGGTGTGATGCTCATTAGTAAAGTAACCTCAGAATCAAAATGGAACGGTTTTAGGAGTGATATCATTCTATTTCATTTGGCAGAATCATTACATCACTGGTTACATTCTAACTTATCATATATACCAAAGACTGACTTACCTTGAAAGCTTCAGTCACAGGCCTGCCTATTTGATGGAAAAAAAAACAGAAGACATTGGTTGGAGATTTGCCCTAATTTTCTCCATTTTTATAACCCATTAACTTTAGAAAAAACATTTAGGGTAGTAAATCTATTCTGTACAGTACAACAGTGGATGTCTCATAATACATTTGTCCAAACTCACTACACCACCATGAATGAATCCTAATGTAACTATGATTTTAGGTGGCAACAATTTTAACAAAAGATCCGTTCCGGTGGCTAAATATTGACAGTGAAGTATGTAAACACAGGTTATATGGGAACTCTATTTTCTGTTTAATTATGCTGTGAATCCAGGTAACAAACTAAAAAATAAAAAGCGAAATAATTCCATCTAGTATTATCTAGATTTATATGCCATAAAAATTCTCACAAATGTATTAACCTGCACTTCTCCAAATGTGACTTCTTAATAGTTAAATTACACTTGTATATATGAGACATCAGTTATCCAAACCTGAATGTTTTTTGTGTGTCAATGCCCAACTTCCCTTTTTGAGGTTAGAAATAGGAATTGTTGCAGCCAGATACATCAGATAGGAGCGAAAGACAATATTGCTCATCACTGTTTGTCTGCTGAACTATGTTATCATCATTGTATCGGCTTTCAACCAGTTAACAGAGAAACAAACTTGAAATTACTACACCTTTCCTTAAACTCTTCTCCAGGTCTTGTAACCAGCCCGACTCTTGAAAACTCCTCACACCTGAAGAAAAGTATTCAAATTTATAACAAGTAGTAATAGGTAAATTTCTAAAATTTTCCAGGTACTGTTTCAGTTTTTAAAAATCTTCATTCTTTTTCAGAGAGATTCCCATCTGTTTTAAATTTCAAAGATCATCACGAACAGCATCTTGCTTAGTAACTAAGTAGGATTAAGAGAACACATACCTTTACGTAAATGGTCGCCACAATCTGCACCTGAAAAACCAAGTATTTCTTTAGACTACTTCTCAAAACTACAGTGGCCTTCCAACACCAGAATCACTCCAGTCAACATATACTAATGGCAGCAGAATCACTCCAGTCAACATATACTAATGGCAGCACATTTCGATAATACCAGTACCAGAAGCCAAATGTTTTCTCCATGTCTTACCCAAAAAACGTCATCCAGATAAAAATGCGTATCCATTAGCTAAAAGAGAAACAAGGTATCTTTCATTAACATTAACATAACATTAAATTCTTCTCTTGAGTTATTTGTCACAGGGTTCTTCAGTGTTAAATTCGTCTACATGCTTATTTCAGGTCAGACATTTGATCAACATCATTACAAAAACCCCGTTCTGAGCATGCGTTAACATGCATTCACTAACCAAACATGGCATTAGTAGTAGCTTGGTAGTTAAGCACTGTACTTTATCAGCATCTTCAGTAAGTTTTGAGCCTACTGGCGTGTTCTTAAACGGTGGTACTTACCAAAAAGAGTAAGCCAATCCAGACACATCAGACTCAAGTACACCTAGGAAATAAAAGTGGTTTTACAATAGCCAAAGACGAATTTCCTTTTCACAAATCCCAAAAATGCCTGAAATCAGGTAGAGCTAATAAGACCTTCACTTTCAGTCAGTATTTGCTTATCATCATACAGGCTTTATTTTAAAAATGGCATCTAACCAAAGACAACAGGACAAGGCTGTCTGGCATTTAATGCTCAGCACACCATTCAAGCACGGCACCAGAAGGAGTGCTTGCTATGCACTAGAAGGCAACCCTAAAAAGCCACTGGTGGCATTCTTTTGTCATGATTACCCAGTTACTGATTTTCAATTATAATTTTACTTACCACTTCAACTTCCAGTTAATTCTTTTTAATGCCTACGAACAAAAAAGCTAGATTTAATAGTGGTACCTTGCTTATGCCATTACCAGCAAACCAGTTTAATAACAGACACATCAGACAAATGGTACATCTCGTCACAAGTCAATCTGCTGAACTATGCAACCATCATAGTATCTGTTTCTTTGGGTGTCTCGCATAAATACGAAGACATAAGTTCATGTTTGAAAAGGTGGAGAAAACCCTAAACATCAGCACCGACGCAGCAATCTAATTCCTTAAAAAATAATTGAAAAGTACTGAGTAAAAATAAACTATCAAAGTTTCTCACCTGCCTGCCGACGATCAAGAGTGATGCTTGAGCTTCAGGCCCTGGGAAGAAACAGCTTCATGTAAACTTAGGTGCAGTCTCTATGTTCTCTCAGTCACCTTTCTGTGTGCCTCAGTTAAGATAATGGTGGTAACAATTCTCGTCATTCTCACAGTCAAGAGTAGCAAATAAAATGTCATCATTGTGGCACATTCAGTGGACCTTCACCACCCACCTCAGAAGAAATTTCAGTGAACTTACCCTGGTGGCTGTTCTCATTCCTTTGGTACAGCTAGAAAAGACACACACAACATCGAATAAAACATACTGTGAAGCCAAGTTAAACAGTAACATCCTAAGAACTTAAGCCTCAGAACAGTATTTTTCAGAAATCCCTTCTGTCCACTACTCTTAAACCATCATAGGCTTAACTAACAAAAAGACCACCTCGAAGCAGATTTCATTTTCCCCACTGTATCTGTTTACCTGTCCATCAGAAGCCATCAAAAGCCACATTGCATTCGTGCCCAGCATCATTCCTAGGGAAAAGATTAGGGTTTAGTCCATTTTCCTCCAAATTAGGATTGTCATTTCAGTATCACCCATGCAAGCTGCTTACGCCATCCATTTCATGACGACAGTCATTTAAGATATAAAGAATTGAACAAAGGCTAAGAACTACTGAAAAAATAATGGTGCACTACACAATTCCGCGATTTAGAGAACCACGTGGACCACCCCAATTACCGGCA